TCTTTTCCTAAAGCTCCTGTTTTTATAGGCATCGCCCTTTTTATCTGTAATGTTTACAGTTTTCTGCTTTTCTTTATGGGGGAGCCAGATGTCAACTGTCCATATCAAAGAATATGCAGATTGAGAGGTTCCTAAAGAACAGCCCTGCTCTTGGTTCCCAGAGGGAGGTTCTAGTTCCCAGGCCTTGGCACCGGCGTGGAGGCCCTGGCCTGCTCAGCCCTTTCCCTCTGCAGCGCAAAATAGCCAACCATAGGGCTGGGCAAGGGGAGGAGAGCCAGTGCCCTCTGCCAGTGCTGCCAGTCCCTGTGCTTCCTCCTTTCTTAGTGTTCTCACTGAGTGCCTCTTGGTCTGCTTAGCATCACTGCCCCTGCCCTGTCCCCTGCCCGCCCCCTCCCCCACCGCTGCCACCACATGCTTGGGGTGCCCCCTACCCAAACAAAAACACAACTGTGGATGAAATAAACAGCTCTTTTCTTCCTTGCACTTGCTCTGGGTGTGACCTCAACACCTCCCCTTCAGGAAGGAGGGAGGCAAGGTAGGGGGAACAGGAAGGTAGTAGGAGTGAATTTGAGGAGAGTGGGGGATAGGAGGAGTGGACGAGTGCCATTCTCTCTCCTAGGGGTCTGGCGAAGGGGCCATGTTTCTTGACACCCCACCTCCTCACCTCCCACCCCTGCCGTCACCCTGGGAATATGGTCCCAGTTTATTACCCCTCCCGTCCAAGTTTGCTATCTTGGCCACACGGTGTATCTATGGCAAGCAGAGGCCACGCCACCCTGCCAGTTGGAAACACCCCAAGGCTGGGGAATGCATCTACCTCAGCAGACTAAGGCGCTCCCAGAGAGCAGGGAGAGCCTGTGAAGGCAGCTCACTCTGTTTTAAAAACACAAACACATTTCATAAAAAATTTAAAGCTATTTCACATTATACAAAGTTTGAAACTAGAGAATGAAAAAGATCACCCAAACCCCTCCATCCTAACAAAAGATCTGTTTTTATTTTGTTGAATTTCCACAGCCTAGTAAAGTAGATGCTCAAATATCATTCAAATATGGAATGGATTAATAAAAGGCAACACATATAGAGCACTTACTTGGTGCCAGGAATTGTTCTAAGTGCTTCATATTTATTGACCCATTTAATCTTTCACAACAACACGGGGTAGGCATTATTGTGATCATCACCATCTCCATTTAGAAATTAAGTCACTGAAGCACAGAGAGGTTCAGTGACTTGTCTAAGGTCACACAGCTGTGACCAGAGCAGGGATTTGAACCCTGGCAGTCTGGTGCCAGGATCTCACCAGTGTTGTTCTATTTTTTATCATAATCGTTAACGCTATTGCGTTAAAGGTTTATAAAAACTTTTTATCATGGACAATTTCAAACATAAAAAAGTAGAGAAAATAATATAAGGAATCTTATATCTCCATCTCCCAGTTTCAATAATTATGACCTCAATGGCTCATCTTGGTTTTTATTCCCTCATGTCCCTAACCCAGATTATTTTGAAGCAAATCCAGTCATTGTATCAAACATCCACATACATTTTAGTATGTATCTTCAAAAGATGAGAATTTTTTTTTGTTTGCTTTATAATTTTATTTATTTATTTATTTTTTCCCCAAAGCCCCAGTAGATAGTTGTACGTCATAGCTGCACATCCTTCTAGTTGCTGTATGTGGGACGCGGCCTCAACATGGCCGGAGAAGCGGGGCGTCAGTGCACGCCCGGGATCCGAACCCGGGCCGCCAGCAGCGGAGCGCGCGCACCCAACTGCTAAGCCACAGGGCCGGCCCAGATGAGGATTTTTTATTACAAAAATTAACACAGTACCATATCATGCCTTAAAATTTGTAACCCCTTAATATCATCAATTTGAATAGTCAGTATTCAAATTTCCCCAATAATTTAATAAAATCTTTTTTTTTTTTTTGGTGAGGAAGATTGGCCCTGAGCTAACATCTGTTGCCAATCCTCCTCTTTTTGCTGAGGAAGATTGGTCCTGGGCTAACATCCATGCCGATCTTCCTCCACTTTGTATGTGGAATGCTGCCACAGCACGGCTTGATGAGTGGTGCTGTGGTCCATGCCCAGGATTCAAACCTGTGAACCCCGGGCCACCAAAGCGGAGCCTGTGAACTTAACCACCATGCCACCAGCCAGCCCCTGAAATCTTTTTTTTTTTTTTAAGTTGGTTTGCTTGAATTAGGATCCAAATATGGCTTTTGGTTGACATATTGCTTAATTTATTTTAATTTGTAAGTCTCTCCCTCTTCTTTTTTTCTTCTAATTTATTTGTTAAGGGAATTGGGTGTGTTTCCTAGCTTCCCTTCCTCTAGATTTTGCTGACTGCATCCCTGGGGTATGCTCACGCTATTTTTATTCCTGATCTTTTCATATAACCTAGCAAGCATTTTCCCATCCTGCCACATAGTTTTCACAACCATCTACTATAATGCTTCATACTATTCCATCCAGTGGATATACCATAATATTTTTCTTGGGCATTTAGGTTGCTTTTGGTTTTCCACTATTATAAATGATTCTAGGATGAACATCCTCATACATAGTATACGGGATATACTTCCTTAGAATACACTACCAGAAATGTAATCATGGCTCCGAAGCCTGAATGATTTTACAGCCTCTTGGCACATATTACTAACTCTTTGTCCAAGAGGCTGTGCATGCCCCAGCACCACAAGAGAGTGCTGACACGCATTCTGAACAGTACTTCGGCCTGTTCATGGCTGAAGGATGTTTGCTGAAGACATGGTAATTATGAGGGCAGAGAGCTAGAGAAGGAGACAGATGATGACAAGGACTCAGGCTAAATTAAGCAGAAAGTGATCCACAATTTACCACAAACCCACAGTGAGTCAGAACTCCGTTAATTCACATTGTGAAAAAAACTCGATAACAAAAGTTATTAATAGGGCAGGGAATGTCCAGTAATCTTTCCATTAGACTATGCATTAGTCAGAACCTTATTTGAGACGTGGATCCAGTCTAGGTCATCGAACTTTGCAGAGGACCAGAGAGCTTGACCAACTTGATGCAGGATGGAAGACACTCAGAGAAAAGTCAAAAGGGTCAACTAGGCTCACTTTGGAAAAAATAAAGACCTTTTTTGCTTCAGTGCTGGGGAGGTTTCTGTGGAAAGGACAACACTCAGTTGTTTGCTTATGTCTTCAGAAGTCTGACTATAAGCAGAGGGGACTCCAAGAACCAGGAGAAACTTCTGTAGGATGTAAGGCAGAACTTTTTCAGACTCTGGGGTGATTATTTAGGTCTTGGGCTGAGTACTCTTGGGCCATTGGCCCTGGAAATCTTCAAGAAGCTGCCTATTCTCCTGTTCTGAGTGGTTCAGATATCCACCTGCTTGATGCCCCACTAGGTACCTCCCGGGACTCCACTCCAGCTTTGTGCAAATTGTTTCCTGGCAGCCCCTTGAGGAGGGGTGGGTGAGGTCTGAGGAAAGTGCCCCCAGGTTCCCTGGGCCTGCATGCTTTCTATCCCCTCACATTCATTTCAGGGTGTGTTTACAGCCAGGCAAGTTGGCACATCATGACACCATCTGATCCTGCTATTCCAGCCCTGCCATGCACAGATTGGGCTTAAAAAGAAGCTGGGTGGGAGGAGTGGAAACTACCCAAACAGGGCCCTCTTGGTGACCCAGGAGACATCAAGAGCCATTTAGTTCAACTTCATGCTTTACATACATTCTTTTGAATTTGCACAACCTTGGAGGTAGGGTTTCACAGGTGTGGAATTCGAGATTAAGACAAGTTATTTGCCCAAGGTCACACAGCTGGTCAAGGAGTGCCTATGCTATGTCTACCTAGCAGTAAAATCTGTGTCCTTGCCTTCAGAGCATGCAGACCAGAGAGGTGCAGCCTCTCACCCAAAGCCACACAAGCTGACCTCGGACTAGAATTCAGGCTCCTAACTATTCATCAAGGAGTCTTCCCAAGACACGTGGCCTTTTCTGACATCTAATGTGAGGAGATCGAGGATGTGGCCTGGCCCAGGAGTAACTGAGAAGGAGTAGACAGACTCTGCACAAATGCTGCGCACAGGCAGAGTTCTCTGCCCTCCAGACTCTCATCCTAACCAACGTCGTGAAAAGCCCGCTTCCAGGAAGGCCCGGCAGGGCAAAGGGCTAGGATAGTTCGTTTCTGCAGGAGCCAATCTGCGGCGGCAGTGAAATGTAAAGGAAAAATTCTGATCTGGGGTCAGAATCTCTGGGTTCCGGGTCCAGGATGAGACCCAGCGGGGAACAATGGCAAGTTACTTAAAACTGCGAGTTTTCCTCATCTGCAAAACTCGGCAATGGTAAACCACAGCTGAAGAGCGCGGACGCAAAAGCAGGAATTGTTACGCGCCAAAGCAATACCATCTCATCTTAGTATCGCTTGCTATTGAAACGTCCGGTGGTGCGGCCCCAGCGAGGCCCCGGCTGGAGCAGGGCTAGAAAACTACAACTCCCAGGAGGCATCCGGCGGACCGGCGCCGGGCGGTGACGTCACGGGGCCCGGCGCGGGGCCCTGATTCGGCCAGAGCTGCCAGCCGGGTGGCTGCGCCGCGGGTTGTTACAGCTGCTAGAGAAGCAGCGGCCCCCGCCCCTGGGCATCTTTCCCGGGCCCTCGACCTGCGGCCCCGTACGGTGAGTCCAGACGGGCGGCCTCGGGGTGGCGGAACTGAGAGCCTCCTGGGGCGGGGCGGGGAAGGAGGTGGGGGCTGCTGAGGAGGCGCCCCGGGCTGGAGGGGACCGGAGCAGGGTGAGTGGAGGTGGAGGGGGTGCAGCCGAGGGGGTGCGTCAGCCGAAGGGATGCCCAAAGGGGAAAGTGGAGGCGGGAGGCCGGGGATGGGGCCTCGGGGAGGAGCGCTTGGGCTGGGGGTGGGGGGCGGGGAGCGGCTGGGCTTCGGGGATAAATGTTTGGCCGTCTCTACGGCTGGGTGAACGCGTGGAGGTGGGGGTGGGGCTCCGGACCGGGCCAGGCTCCGAGTGCGACGTCCCAGGCTGAGGAGCGGAGCGGGAGGCCCCCCTTCGGCTTGAGGTCCCACTCAGAAAACCCCAGCAATAGGGAGGGCTCTGCCTCTTCGCTTCACCCTCTCTCTCGGCTGGTAGGGGTTCGCCTCGGTACTCGCCGTCTTCCTATTCCCACTGCTCTCCTAAGTCCGGAAGGCAGGTTTAGAGCTGAGAGGTGAGCGACTGTGGCCCTGCGGGTTTGGGAGTGGGCAGAATGAAGATGGCATTGTGACGTGCTGCCAGGGACTCCCTGTTGGGGTCCAGGTTACAGGCTTGAATGTTTTGTGCTGCTCATCCAGAAGGCAAAAGGTTTGCTGCTTAAAGGGCTGCCCTTATTTGGGGGAGAGAATAGGAAGCGCTCACCTGGCAACTGCCCTGAGGCGCTCTGTGGCCTTGGCTTAAGTGTCTGACAGACTGGCTGGGCAGGGCTATTTGCATGTGGAGCCAGGGGGGAAGGGAGAGAAGGGGTAGTAAATAGTTACCAGCAAGAAAGTAGTTAACAGAAGAGAGTTGCTGCAGGCTCTAGTTTGAGGCAGGTTATGAAACCACATTAGGGACTGGCACGGGCAGCCACCTGCCAGCTATGGCAGCAGAACTTTTCAGCCGCAGCTGCTGTAGACTTACTCTACCTCTGCCAGCTGCTTCTCTCCGTTTCCCCCCTTCTGGGCGAGGGGCAATTGGTTATTTTACTGATGGAAGTGATATGTACCCGTAGTCACACAAAAGTCTCAAGAGTGCTTCTTGGCTGCCAGTCTTTTTCTTAGTGTATTGATCTATTCTGTCTTTTTGGGGAGTCTCCTGGGATTTCTGCTCTTGGGGCAGCTAGTGTTCAGGCTTCAGGAAGAACCTTTCTCAGGTCCTAGGTCTAGGCCCCTCCTAGACTCATTGGGCTTCATTCGATGCCCTGTTTCAGCCAGAAAGGTATAGGATGATCTGGGATTCAGCAAGGCTCTTGGCACTCCTGGACAAAATACCAGGGAGGGCTAGAGGTCTCTACTCCTCCACCCCTGTAGGTCTAGGTTAGGGAGAAGTGGGGAGGGGCAACAGTTTCTGGTCAGGATGGGGAACACTTTCTCCTTAGACAGTAGTAAGTCCTTCAGAGCCCTCACTTCCTAGCCAGCTTCCCTTCCACACCCCCACTCCCTCACCCCAGGTGGAGGCTTTTGCGCAGTAGGTGTCCCAGGAGCTGTGTTAGGGTAACTGAAGCCCCAAGGCCCCGGGAAAGTAAACAACTGAGCCAGTCTCGGTTTTCTAGTTCCTTGGGTTTCTCTTAGGCCCAGTTATCCAGCCTAATGGGCTGAGCTGATGGGCCCCAGGAGCATCACTTTTTCTAGGATGCACCCTGGGCCCTCTCACGTATGTTTGCATGTTGGGAAGGTGTGTTGTGGGGTCACATTTCCCCGGAGGTCTCTAAGCTTGGAGCTGTCTGAGAAGAGGAAACTTGTTCCCATTATCCTGGAAGTAAGGGACTGATCGTTGAGAATTCTGGCCCCTACACAGGCTTGGCTGTGATCCTAGCCAGAGATAGATAGCAACTGAGTCTGGGGGGGTCTGGTTGCAGCAGGGTGCGGGAGGTGGCTGCCTGGGCACTTCTATGATACCCCCATCTGCGACCCCTTTCTGCTTCTCCAGGAAAGATGGAGCTGTTACCATGGTGATGACCTTAGGGTCTTTATCAGGCAGGGCCTTCCCTCAGCTAGGGAGGTGAGCTAATACAAAGGCACCATCTGTTCTCACCTCCTGCTGTTCACAGGGCCCTCAGGGATCTGGAGACAACCAGCTCTGGACAAGGGGCTGCTCATTCCCCTCCTTACCTGCATCCAGGATTGCAGCTGGGTTGCATTGTTCCCTGGGCATCAAGGGCAGTCCTCCTAGTTCTTCCAGCTGCAGGGCTTCTGCCATTGGAGCTGGGCAGGGGAAGGCATGGTGCTAACTTACACCTGGAAACAGGTGCTGGGAAAAGAGGCCAAGGTGAGGATGGGTGGGGCAGAGAGGAAAGGAGGCAGGAGCGGCCACAGGTGTGGTTTTGTGTCCTTGGGAGGGGTATGTTGATGTGCGTTTCAGCTGCCCGTTGGAGCTGTAGATCGTGGCCACGTTCTCCATCCTTGCCTCTCCTCTAGTGGGGAAAAGGGCCCTGGTGGTTTGGCTGCAGAGTGAGTGGTATCACGAGGGTTAGCCTGAGCGGCTGCCAAATGGATAAAATGTCTGGATAGGTTGTTTTGTGTCACCAAGAAGGAGGCTTCCAGGTCTGGGCAAAGGTTGTTCCTAGTCTGTTGTTTTCTTCCCTCCCTCCCTCCCTCCCTCTTTCTACCCTGTCAGTCCTCTTGGGTCAGCGTTAGGGGAGACCCGGGACTGGAGAATTAGGAGAGATGGGTAGAAGCAATGATCCCCAAATGTTTTATCCACTGCTACCTGTTCTTGCAGGCCCCACCTCCTTTTATTCCTTATAATCGGGGGAGAAGGCTCAGGGGTAAGAGATGTCCCATTTCAGGCCCTTAGTGAGACAGTCCTGCAGGGGTTATGCTGGGTGATTCTTAGGAGACAAGCCTCGTCTCCTCTCCCTGGGCTTTGTGGGAAGACAGCCCTCATGGGAATGCTCTGGAGGGTGAGATTGGAGGATAGGCAGTGGTTTCTTTGCTCTGGGGCGGGATGCCTCTTCGTGGCCTATCCACCCAGGCAGTCCCAGTGGCTGGAGCGGCTGATTTGGTGATGTGTGGGGCAGCCTGGTGTTTCTCCCATCCCAGTAGTGGGAAATGAATAGAGTAAAGACCACATGGACTTTCGTGGCCTCCTTGCTTGAGAATCAAACAGTAGACCTGCCTGGAGTTTTTGGGGAGAGCAGAGCCTCCCTCCCTGCGGGACCTGGAGGATGTGAGGGGGCAGGGAAAGTGGTGTGACCTGTCTCACCTGTGCTGGTTGTTTGCAGAGAGTGGCAGGAGAGGGGCAGCAGGATGAATGTGGGCACGGCGCACAGCGAGGTGAACCCCAACACGCGGGTGATGAACAGCCGCGGCATCTGGCTCTCCTACGTGCTGGCCATTGGGCTTCTCCACATTGTGCTACTCAGCATCCCCTTCGTGAGCGTCCCTGTCGTCTGGACTCTCACCAACCTTATCCACAACATGGTGAGGACCTGCCTGCTGCCCACCCAACCATGTAGGCTACTCTGCTGAGCAGAGCAGGGCTGAGGAGTAGGAGGAGCCCCCCCAAACATGGGCCAGATGTCAGGGTGACATACTGACAACAACTGTCACCAGAGCCCAGACCCAGCCCTCATCTCTCTGCCCCACTTTTCCTTCTGGGTTCCAGCCCTGTGCATTCCGATAAGAGGAAAAAATCTGTCCACATCCCTAGGATGGGGTAGTTTATGGACCTGGGTGATGGGCCATTGAGAGGTGAAGTAAGGGCCCCAGAGAGTCCCCAGGACCCAGGCACCTAGCCTGGTGCAGGAATGCTCCCTTCCCAAGTTAGGATCTCACACACCTTCCACTCTTGCCCCCTCTGCTCCCTCACCACCTGCTTGCTACCTTGTACTCTTTTGGTGGGCAAGCAGGGGCCTAGTTCCTTCCCATCAGCTTGCCCCCTCCCAGCTGGCACAGGGAGGCTGTCACTGGGCTAGAGGGGCAGCATCTCCATGCCAGTTCTGTGGCTAACTCCTCCCCATGGTTTTCCTCATGCCAGGCCTGCCCTCTCACCCAGCGGGTCCCCTTATTCTCCTGCCAGGATCCCAGCTGCTCCATCTTGACCTCCAGCCCATATCCCCCTGCCCAGCAGAGGGAGGCTCCAGATCACCCGGAGTCCATTCTGACTGGAGTGGGAGAGCTGAGCTGGAGGGCCTTTTGCCTTGTGTGTCCTCTAACAAAGACCCCTCCCTCCAGGGCATGTACATCTTCCTGCACACGGTGAAGGGGACACCCTTTGAGACTCCGGACCAGGGCAAGGCGAGGTTGCTAACTCACTGGGAGCAGATGGACTATGGGGTCCAGTTCACAGCGTCTCGGAAGTTCTTGACCATCACACCCATCGTGCTGTGAGTGCCTTGGTAGAAGAGGACACCCGCAGGCAGGCCAAGGCCTGGGGGACCCTGGGGACCTGCGAGGCTTAAACCTCTCCCCAGCTCTGGTCTTGGCTTAGGAATGAACAGAGGAAAGGAAGTTGGAGTGTCCCTGGGTCTTGTGCTGGGCTCAGGCCTCCCTGGGCCTATCTTTCCTCAGTTGGGTCTTCCTTCCTGCCAGGGAGGTAGCCCACAGGCCTGGGGTAAAGCAAGGGGCCTCTTTAGCGAGGGAGATCTTGCCCCCCTACTTCTGTTCTGGGGGTCTTTCCCATGACTCCTCGGCTGTCAGGAATCTGCCTTTCCCCACCCAGGGAGTGAGGGAGGAAGGGGACCTCCAAACAGAGTCTTATAACTCTCCCCAACCTTCCCCACCCAGGTACTTCCTCACCAGCTTCTATACCAAGTATGACCAGATCCATTTCATCCTCAACACTCTGTCCTTGATGAGCGTGCTCATCCCCAAGCTGCCCCAGCTCCATGGAGTCCGGATTTTTGGAATCAATAAATACTGAGGGTGCAGCCCCTTGCCCTGCCCAGGATGGCAGGGGAGGGGTGGAAGCCTGTGCTGTGATGCTGAAGACAGAAGGAGCCTCTGGATACTGCCAGAGATGGAGGTTGAGCCTCTGGGCCCTAGTCTCCCCACTCACGTCCCCCAGTAGCCGACCTGAAGTAGCTTGTAATGGGGTTGGGGCAGGCCCCCCCCAGGGCTCTGACCCTTTCTGATTTTTTGATCTTTTCCTTTTGCCTTTTGGATAGAGACTCCATGGGGGTGGTCATGGAATGGGCTGGGCTCTGAGGCTGAACACAGACCTGTGAGGTTAGACAGGAGGCCAGGGAAACCCCCTGTTCACTTGCTCATCCTATTGCTAAAGCACTTTAACCTCTGTGAGGGGAGCACAGGGAATGGTACAGCTTCTAGATTGTTTCACTTTAATTCTTAAGTCTTTAGGATGACACTCAGTGTGTGCTCGTATGTATGAAAGCAAATGTGTGACGGTGCCTCGTCCTTCTGGGTAGAGAACCGTCTAATCCAAGTCTCATGCTTTCGGCAGCTTCCCTATGACCCACCCTGGGTACTAGGTGGGAGTGGGGAGAGTAAGGAGAGGGATGGTGGGGCTGAGTGTGGATGGCCTGGTCTCAGAGGTGAGGGGCCAGGGCTGCTGCCATCCTGGCCCTAGTGGAGGTGGGAAGGAAGTGAGGGGAGGGGTGAGGATGGTGAGTTGAGACTTAGAAGAAGGGTCTGCATAGCAGCAGAGATCGGTGGGAGGGAGGGAGGGTCGGGAGAGAACCTAGACCCAATCTCATCCTTTGGGAAGTGGTCAGGGATGAGGGCAGGCTTGGAGAGTTAATTTACCCACAGCATGGTGGTGGTAATAGGAAGGGAGGCTGCTGTGGGTTTGAAGCTCCTGGGTTGGCGTGAGTGGGTGGAGATGGGTGGAAGAGGCCTGTGAGTCATCATAAGCACAGGTTCAATTCGACACTGCCTTTGGTGTGAGGAACGTGGGGAAACTGGGACAGAAATGATGAATGGTGGGGCCCTTCTGCAGCCCTTCACCTTGTAATCTTGTGCAGAATGGCACTGGGGCAAGGCCTCTTGTGTGGCATGCACATGTGGGGCTATGAGGCCACCCCCAAACAGGGTCGGTGCGCTGCAGAGTGCTACATGGTCCCTGCTCCAGCAGCGCAGTAGAAAGTAAGGAGTGGCCTGTAGGTGCCGTCTCCTCAGCCTGAGGAGAAGAGAGGTGGGGCAGGAGCCTGAGCATGGGCTGCAGAGGAGCCACCTTCTCCCCTCCGCAATCTGACTAGGGTCTGTGTTACTTTTGAAAAGGTGTGGGTGCCTGTGCCCCGTCTCAGGGCCCTGAGGGAGGAGGGGAGGTCATTGGCCCTGTTTTCTGCCTCCTGGTCACCCCAACCCCCACCCCATTATGTATCATAGGGAACTTTCACCTCAAAATCTTTCTAAGCGAAGTGTGAATAGGATTTTTACTCCCTTTGTACAGTATTCTGAGAAACACAAATAAAGGACAATGTTCCTATTTCTCCTGAGTCTGGCTTCTGCTTCCTGGAGGTCCCTGGGGGAGGGGGCGGGGTGTGGACAGCGCTCCTGCTGAGGGCAGTGTGGGAGCATCAGCTCGACCCTCTGCCTGGATGGTGGGAGGGACCCTGGGATGCTGCTGTTCCTGCTGCCCCAGCAGAGTGAGTCCAGGGTCTGGGAGGGAACTGGCAGAGGCAGCAGCAGCCCAAAGAGTAGGATTCTGCTCTGACTTTGCCTGGCTGTTCCTCTGACAGAATTTCCACCTCTGGGCTACACAGGCTGGCTGAGTCAGGCCGGGTTGGCGGAGGGACAGCTTGTGCTGTGGCCAAGGAGGGGGTCGGTCCAGCAAAGGCTTTATAAATGAAGCTGGAGTCCTGAGGGGCCCAGTGCCATCCTCTGAACGCCTCCCCTGTTCTCACTTCTCTTCCCCCAGTGTTCCTTCCCTGGGAGGGCTGCCTTTTCTCCTGGCCTTTCTGTCTTCAGAGGAATCTTCATGCTTCCTCCTGCCATAAGTATGAGTGGGAGGGGAAGAGATCACCCTCCAGGAGTTATTTAGGCTCCCATGGCCAGGAAAGGCAGTTTTTTAGTGAAGGAACTCTTATCTCCCAGGTTCCCGGCCTTTCAGCTTGTTCTGTGCAATATCATCGGCTATTCTGGGACAGGTACAAAGTCCAGAGTAGAAGGGAGGAGCTGCCCCCCCGGCAGCCTGGGCTCCTCTCTGGCCCTGGTCCAGCATCACAATGTCCTTGGTGTCAGGAAGAGTGCAGGATCTTTGCCCAAGTCCACCCCCCATCCTCTGCCTGCACCTGAGGCCCACACTGCATTGGGAAGAGAAATCAGCCACCTGTGCTCAGTCCTGGAGGTGGGGGCGCCCTGGGAGCTTCCTGGACCTGCAAGAATGCAGTCAGGGTGAGGGGCTGAGGCACATCAACAACAATCTGGGCTCAAATACCAGCTCTGCCTCTTACTGGCCTTGTGGCCTCGTGACCTTACTTCTCAGAGCTTCAGTTTCTTCCTCTGTTGTATAAGAGGTTAGGGCTGTTATGAGGATTAGCTCAATGCCTGGCATGTGGCAAATACTTAACACATGGTAGCCATATTAATATTATTACTATTGTTACCACCACCATCATCATCTCAAGTGTTCTTTCAGAACTGAGGGAGGCAGGGGCCAGGAGACAGGGTGGTTATCTCTGAGGACTGAGGGGTGGGGCCAGAGGCCTCTCCCTGGAGGTGGAGGTGAGTGATGAAGACAGGTGGGGGCATCTCCCTGAGTGGGCTATGAGGGCACATTTGCAGAGAGAGGCTTGAGTCCTTACTGGCCCAGCCTGTTCCCTACAGGTGTTAGCTGCTGTTGCTCTCTCAGTCTTCAGTGTTGCCCACCCTAGCATGGCATTTGGGTAGCTGGTTCTGACTAGGTCACTCTCCTCATGTCCCTGGCACAGTCACAGCCATTGCCTGTTGGCACTTGGTTGGTACCCACCCATATTCTATTTCTCTATTCCAAACCCACTGGATTGCACAGCCCAGTATGCCTCCTTCTACACCATTCCCTGGCCCAAACTCACCTAGAATGTGTGTGTGTGTGTGTGTGTGTATATGTATATATATATATACCACCTGCTCCCCTAGTCCAAGAGGAGAGCCTTATCTGCTTCCGGCCCAGCCATAATGTAGCTTATCTAAAGGCCTGAGAGGTGGGGCACCTAGCCCTACCCAGCTTTCCAATTCCTTTCAGTTCTCTTATTATAGCTTCCTGAGACACAGCGGCCAGGAACTGTGCAGAGATCTTACAGAGGGGATTCTCACAACCTCCATTTCGGGTAAGCAGCTGAGGATAGAGAGGAGGTGGGTGGTCCCTGAGATCCCTGAGATGGGCCTGTGAGCCCTGGGCACTGCCTTTTCAGACACCCAGAAGAATTCCTAGGTTGGGAGTGAGCTGAGAGTTGGCTGCCATGATGGGGGCAGGGACAGAGAAGGGAGCACGGGTGAGTAGGTGCCTGGGCCGCCAGAAGGGTCTTAGGGGAAGGTGGTCAGAGGTAGGATGGAGAAGTGAAGGAGCCCAGGAAGCTTGTGAGGGGAGGCCTGACCCCATGAGGGAAGCAAAGGAACCTGAAGAAAGGGAAAGAGATCTCAAAAGGAAAGAGTTGCAGAGTGACTGATGAAACGGGAGAGAGTAAGAAGGATTTGAAGGTAAAAGAGCCTAAAGGGTCCAATGTGGGGACAAAGAGCTGCTGCTGAATAGAAACAGAGAAGCAGTAGCTATGTCAGATTGGACTGGTGATAGGCCTGTGGAGGGTCCCGCAGGGCAGGGGAGATAGAGAGGTACCGGGGCCAAGTGTAGATGAGAGGGTGAAAGAGAGAGTGGGTGGGGGGAGATGCCCCAGGTGGGGTTTTGAGATTCATTTTATTTTACCAAGTGTAAGGGGACCTTTCAGAAGGTGACCAAAAACTGAGGAGACAGGACCTGGGGGTAGGGAGCTGTTTATGGTGCCCAGCTCCAAGCTACTCTTGCTCTCCATCCTTTCTCTCTTGTTTCCTTCTAAGGCCAACTTACCACCATCTCACTGGGAAATGGTTGGTAGGGGCACCCATCCAACTGCCTTGCAGAATACAGCAAGGGAGGGACTCAGAGCCAAGGGAAGAAATAATCAGTTGGGGTTGGTAATGTGAGGTCTGGCAGCCATGCCCCTCATCCCTTCCTGGATCCTCTGTTCATCAACACTGGTGAGAGTCTACCCGGGGGATGGTGGGCCTGCCTTCCTACACCTCAGGCCCCTCCGAGCAAGGGGGAAACTCTGCTGTGGGAGATGCAGGAAACAGATCTCGCTTTCTGTTTGAGGCAATCATTGCTCCATCTTTCCTCCAGAAGGGTTCCATGAGGGGCAAAGGGGAGTACAGCATTTGTGATGGTCACCCTTCCTTAGTGTGTAGTGACCACCTCACCTTCTAGAAAGAGGGAAGGCAAGTAACTTCAGGTCCTAGTTGTCCTAGAAACTTTGGCTCTTCCTTGAGCCCAGGCTGCCAAAGGTAGAAGATTTAAAAACCTGAACCAATATCCCCCTCCCCCAAACTGAAATCGGCTTCCTTCTCCCAGTTGGTCCAGGTACAATGCCCAGCGTATTTGAGAAAATCACAAGAGTTGTGGTCCAAGAGATGGATGCTAGAGGGGATATGATTGCTGTCAGAAGCCTTGTCGATGCTAACAGATTTCACTGCTTCTATCTGGTGTTGGAGAGGAGAAATTTCTTGGGATGCCGGTACTACAAGACAGACCTCACCCTGAAGGACATACTGGAGACAGAGAAGGGTGAAGGGCAGTTTGATGAGCTGGATTCTGGGTTCCAAGGTCAGTATGAGGTAGGTGAGAGATGGCCAGGCAGGAGACTTTGCCCACTCCTACTCTACCCCACTCTCAACTCCCCACTGCCATCAACCAAGTCAGCCAGTCAACAAAGAAACTGTGGAATTTGTATATACACATCCACACACCTCCAACAGAAGAGCTGAATGGGGAGAAGGGAATAGGAAGTGGAAATTTATTATTTTTTTTATTTTTACTTTTTGTGAGGAAGATCAGCCCTGAGCTAACATCCGTGCCAATCCTCCTCTTTTTGCTGAGGAAGACCGGCTCTGAGCTAACATCTATTGCCAATCCTCCTCCTTTTTTTCTTCCCCCAAAGCTCCAGTAGATAGTTGTAGGTCATAGTTGCACATCCTTCTAGTTGCTGTATGTGGGACGCGGCCTCAGCATGGCCGGAGAAGCAGTGCATGGGTGAGCGCCCGGGATCCGAACCCAGGCTGCCAGCACTGCTTAGCGCAGTGCTAAGCCACAGGGCCGGCCCTGGAAATTTATTTTTATTGTAAACTATTCGTAAACAGTCTTCCTTTCCCATTTTTTCTCTTTGTAAATAATTGGTTTTTAAATTAGCTGAGGTCTTCTCATGTGTTTATATGTTTATCATTTCAATGGATAAATAAATGGAGGCAGTTTGCTTAGTGGTTAAAAAAGGACACAAGCTTTAGAGCTGGGGGCGTCTGGTTTCTAAGCCTGACTCTGCCACTTACCAGGTGGGTGACCTCTGGACAAGTTGCTTTATCTCTCTAAGTTTGTTTCTTCATCTCTCAACTCAAGAAGATTGTTGCAAGAATCGAATGAGATTAGTTACATAAATCATTTATCACAGTGCCTGCACAGGAGACTCAATCAAAGTTCACCGCAATCATTCTGCTGGTGGCGGTTATTATTATTATCCCTTAAAGTTCTCTGGAAATCATGACTGAATGGGAAGTTGCTGGCAAGCAGAACTCCCTAAGGGCTTGAAGGGATTTGTAGAGGAGTCTATTCCATCCCCCTGCCTCCAAGCTCAGCTATTTCTGCGGTTTCTTGGGTTTCAGAAGGCCCAGGGTAAATATTGTTGAACCCTTACTTGGAGACTTACTTCAGTGTTTCGTGCCTCATGGTGAGGAGTTTTACAGCTCAGACATCTCTGCTATAACCCATTTGGGTCTCACCAAGAGAAGGAAAAGAATTCTAACGATACCACTGTACAGTTTTAGAGCACCTGCCACGTGCCAGGCACTGCTGTTCTGTGACCCCAAGAAGGGCCCAGATTACTTGGAGGTGGTCGGCCTTTCCACAAGTGGAGTTTAATTAAGGAAGCAAGGGGTTTTAGGAAAATTTCAGATTAGCATTTTTCAAAGACTCCGAGTCAGTGCTCTAAAAAGCAACTTGCCAAGAGCCAACTTACTAAAAGCTAATTCTCAAAAAATCAGTTTGTCAAATGACCAGTTCACTAAAGACAGAAAAAAACTTTAAACCTGGACTGGGATGTTTTGCCATGATCATATTACTCCCCAGGGGCAGGGGCAAAGTGTAAGTATGGAAAAAAAATTTGACTAAGTCAGTTAACTTCCTTTAAGGGACAGTCTGTCTGTTTGCATAAAAAATTCAGAGGCAGAGGTGAAAACCAACTTTAAAAAAAAAAAATCCTTAAGAATGAAGTGAATTGGTAATTTGAATTGGTTTTCAGCAACTTGGCCTGCCCCCATTTCAAATGGATTATTTATTTTTTAACTATATCGTGCTGATAGTCTGGTTAAAGTGTGAATAGGTTTTTTTGTTTTGTTTTTTTAATTAACTAAAGTCCATATTTCATTCAAATTATCTTAGTTTTACCTACTGTCCTTTTTCTGTTCCAGGATCCCATCCAGGATACCATGTTACCTTTAGTCATCATATCTCCTTAGGCTCCTCTTGGCTGTGACAATTTCTCAGACTTTCCTTGTTTTTGATGACCTTGACAGTTTTAAGGACTATTGGTCAGGCTTATTGCAGGATGCCTCTCTACTGGAATTTGTCTGATGCTTTTTTCTCATGGTTAGACTGAGGTAATGGGTATGGGGGAGGAAGACCACAGAGGTAAAGTGCCATTCTCATCACATGGTATCAAGGGTACAGACTGTCAACATGACTTATCACTGTTGATGTTAACCTTGGTCACCAGGCTGAGGTAGTTTTTGTCAGGTTTCTCCACTGTAAAGTTACTGCCCACCCCCCACCCCCCATACTGTACTCTTTGTGTGCTAGGTTTGACTTTTCTTTTCTCTCTGATAAAGCACATACAAAATTTACATTGCTCAAGAAACAAATGGGCCCTGAGACCTTAGTGTCACACATACAGGACTGACTTCAGGCACTATTTCTAGTTCTGTCATGTTCCACCCGTTCCAAAATGGATTTTTCTCTGGAAATCCAGCCCTGCCCCCAAAACCTAGCAGTTGAAGCTCTCCCTCCTTTGTAGGTCACACCTGGGAGGTCTGAGAGAAAGGCACTCAGCCTGGCAGCATCTCCACAAGCTCCACTAACTCCAGGGCAGCAGCTGACTCAGAATCAAGGCCCTTATGACAGCACCTCATCAGCCTGGGCAGAGTCCACACAGACGTGGGCAACTTCCTAGGGTTACCTCACTTTATACCTGCATGGTTCATACAAACACAGAGGCTGAACGCTGCTTAATTTTTATTTCCCAATGGGCAAGGGTTCCTAATTCTTTAGCTTTACTTTTGTTTCATTTCAGCCTCTCAAATAGTTAAATAGGACTAGCTCACATTTATTGAGCATTTAGTGTACATGCCAGGTACTTTGTTAAGTGCTTAACTGCATTATTTTATTTAATTTCCTCAAGCACAGGCAGTAGGTACTATTAATATTCTCCTTCTATAGATGAGGAAACAGATTCAAAGAGGTTAAGTGACTTGTCCAAGGTCATTGGTGAGAAGGTGGCAGAGTGTGCTCAAACCTGGGATTGTGTGACCTCACGATGACTCCTGGTGAGAAGAGCATTTTCTGGAGAGCCACAGCTGCAGGACTTCCTCAGAAGGGAAAGGGATCGTGGAGGGGACCCCAGGGTAGGGCTGCTCCAGGGAGGATTTTCTGGAGAAAAATCTTTTGGGTCAGCCTCAGTATGACCTTTACCCTTCTCCTTCTAGGTCAAAAGGCTGAGTTCCAAGTTACAGACATGGTAGACTCAAAGGGAATGTTGACAGTGAAATCACCCAAAGAAATAACAATTGCAGGGGCCTTCCACGGCTCTCAGGAGCAGAGAATCGAGATATTGGCGACTCAGATATCCCCACAATATCTGGATTCCCTTGAGAACAGGTGAGGCTGGAGGTGGGCAGCAGTGGGGAGGCAGAGAGGGAGAAAGCCCATTTTGGGCGCCAAGGGCATCTGAGGGGGGGCACCCTGGCTGGTGCAGCCTCTCACTCCCTACTCCCAGCATTCCCCCAACCCACTCCTTTACTCAAGCATGCCTTCCTCTTCTCCACCTTCAGGAAGCCTTCTCATTCTTCCAGGATCAGCCTCCAGGAAACCTTCTTCTGATACCTCCAATTCACTCACATCCCTGCTATCCTCCGGGGTGACTGATTACTCTGGATTGGACCAAAACCTGCTGGTTTCAAGAGGCCATTCTCCTCTGTTCTTCTATACTGAGTTGCCCAAATCTGTATTTTGTGCTTATTTCACTCTGCCTTGTGGCAAGCCAGTGATTTCCATGTTCCTCTCCCTCACTGGACTAGGAACAACTTGTGACCGGGGACTGACTTTATTAACCTCTCTGTATTTGTCCCTAGCACACAGTAGGTGCTCAGTAGGAGAGCTGAGGTGAAGCACAATGAAATCAAAACACCCCTGTAGAACACTTCCTGCACAGAAAGTGCCACCATCCCACTCCACTGGGGTGGTACCAATCAAGTGCCACAGAGGTTCTGATAGCTGAGGTCCTGGTGCTTCCAAGGGACTTAGAGGTACATCACCAGCCTTCCCCCTCAGCGATCATTTTGCTGTTGGTGTTGGTGTTCCTTCCCTAGCTGGAGTTGTCGGAAAGCGTGGTTGGAGCAGCTCAGGGGAAGGGGCCCTACCATTCTCCTGGTCTAGCGCTCCCTGAGTGGGGTGGCTGCCTTTTGTTTTTCCTTTTTAATTAAAAGTTGAAAGGCTTACAGTGAAATTTTACTGGTCCTTGAAACTACCCTTCCCCACCACAGTATTACTGGGTAGGGCCTTTGGAGTTTTTCTAGAATGCCTGTCGTTTCTAGGGTGAGGCTATGTGGTATGTATATATAGAGTTGGGGGGAGGATGACTGGATGGGTACAGGAGGCTCAGCAGAGGCAAGGATGTAGGCCTTCCTTGAGGGTCTTTTGGTTGTAAATACCAGAAGCTCCATCAGGCTGTTTTTAGTCACAAAATGAATTTTCTTATGGAATCAGAGATACCTCCTGGAACCCAAGGGTGGACAATGCAGCCAGGCCCCAGGTACAGGCGAGGAGCTGGAGCCCCTTCTCAGACAACAGGCTACTCTGGGCTGGGCAGATGCCTATCTCAGTGCCATGAGAAGGGCACACGCTTTGGACTCACATAGACCAGGGTTTGAATCCCAGCTCTATACTTATTAGCTGTGTGACGTTGGACCATTTACCACCTGTCTCTAAGCCTCAATTTCCTCATATGAAAAATGGATGCAATTCTGCCTATATCATAGTGTTGTGAGGAGGGTTAAACGAAATGACATGTGAAGTATCTCACAGTGCTTGCACACTCTAGTCTTCAAAAAATGCTAGTGAGTTCCCCTCCCACTTTGCACTCCCTTGCCCCCAGCGCGTCAAGTTAACTGTGACAGGGATGCTGTGTTCCTTGGTTTTCTAGCCTCAGAGGCACTTAATCTCAAATAGGAACTAGCTGATGGAGAGGAAACCTCACTGGGAGGTGGGGCCCCTGAGATCCTGAACTCTCATCCCCCCTCACTCCCTCCAGGAAGCTGAAGAGAAAACTACCTGCTTTTTTCCGATCAATCCAGACAAAGAGAAAAGACCTCTATCTGGTGACAGAAACTGTGGAGACAACAAAGAAGGAAACCCTGGAAAGTAAATGGCAGTGTACATTATGGAGCAAGATAAATTTTGGCAGTTTCAAATTGGAACACAAGGTTTGGATCCTGGGAGGCAGGGATTGTGGAGAGCCAGCCTTGGCCCGCCCACTGCAGGTCAGGGGGATGCCAGCCCAGACTCTAGGCTCTTCAGCTCTTCCTCCAGACCTCCCTGAGCAGCCCTGCCTGCTCCTTGGCCTTCTTATGACCTCTCTTCTTGCCCCAAGAAAGTGTGTGTGGCATCGCTAAGTCCCTCCCCTGTCACTCGCTGTGATATCCTGTTTTCATTTGCTTCAAAAGGCTTCCCACAGTTCATAATTACACGAGGGTTTTTTGCTTATTCATTGTCTGCCTCCCTTTCTAGGAGGCAGGAGGGCAGGAGCCACAGTGCCTGGAACAAAACAGATCCTCAATAAACATTTGTTGAATGAACAGTGGAAACAACATGAGTTTTAGGGTCAGATGTGGGTTCAAATTTCAGCTCTATTACTGTTTTTAGCTGTGAAACTGGCTCACCTACTGACCCTCTCTGAGCCTCAGTTCTCTCATCTGTAAAATGAGGATAAAAATCTCTACCTCCCAGGACTGTTTGGGAGATCAGGTAAGATAACTACATAAAGCACCTAGGGATCAATCAACGTGAGCTCCTTTTTCCTAGCACCAAAGGGCAGTGACCATCCCCCCGAAGTGCGTCCTGGGCTATCGAATAAAGCAGCTCGTCTTCCCCAACATGGAAAGGATGAGTAAGCAAGGCCTGGTGGGAGTGGGGGCTGATTCAGCCAGGCTCTGTGTCAGCCTGGAGGGCTCCTGGTGAGCTTGAAGGTCAGGGAAGTTCCAAGGAAGAGGGAGGGTTTAGGACTGGGAGGAAGGCCTGAGGTTTCTTGCTCAGACACCACAGACCCAGGATTTGCCCCACCATGACACTAATCCTTCCCTAGAGGTGTTAACTACCATCTCTTTCCCAGTATTTTCTTTTTTGGTGGGGGGCAGAGCGTGAGGATTGAGGAAAGACTAGAAAGAAGAACTTACAGAGAGAGAACTGGTCTTTCTGATAACTGGTCTCTCTCTCTTTTTTTGCACTGGTTTAGATATTTGTTTCTTGGGCGAAACAGAATCCTTTCCAGAAGGTGAGTGAGCTTCTGGGCCTCCTGTTCATCATTCCAGAATGGGCAAGGATAGTATTTTTAAAAAGAGTATAACAAATGGCCTGGAATTATAAAGTTATTAGAGCTAAGAATGTAATAGGATGCACCCAGGGTGGGAACCGTGGTAAGGGCAGGAGAAAAATCTGCCTGTTGGAGAAGCAGGTGGGATTGCATGTTGGCCTAGGATTTCTAGGCTCTGACAACTTTGACTTGCTTTGTGTGAGGCAGTGTGCTGGATCCCAGGGTCACAGCCTTTACTGAAGGCTTATTGGCCTAGGAAGCACAACTGGATTGCCTGGCCAGTTCTCACATGATAGCACTGGCTGTGAAAGGAGCACTGGACTGGGAGTCAAATGGTCTCAGGGTCTAGTCCTGGCTCTGGCAATCACTAGCTCTATAGCCTCCTGAGCCATGGTTATCCTGACTTTAAAATGAATGGGTTAGATTACAAGATCCCTGTGATTCTGAATGTGGCTTCCTCTGGAATTTCAGAGTTTTTCCTTGCATCTCAGAAGGATTGTACTGCCTAAAAGGCCTTGGGAAGGAGTAGAGAGAGGTCTAGATATGGTAGAAAATTTGAGAAACTCCTGGAAGTTGTAGAAGTTGCAGGTTCAGTCCTGGCAAGGTCTTGCTAGCTCAAAAGAGTGAATCTCTGTCATTCTAACGTGCCATAACAGAGGAGACAGGAGATGGATTTCAATCCCTAATTTGACCCAAATTTGCTGAGTGACTGAGGGCATATTGCACCCTCTCTGGGCCTCTGTTTCTTCTTCAATCATCTAGATATAATCCTATGGCTGCCTATCTCCCAGGATGTGGGAAGGGTCATTTACACACAATGATGAGGATGTAGGCTCCCTGGCATGGGCAGTGAGGGCTCAGAGTCCAAGAATGAAAACTTCCACCGCTGGGAAGAGAATGTCCACAGGGGGCTGGAGGTGACCTGAAGACTCTGAGATTATTCTTCCTCTCTTTGCAGAGAAAGATGGTGGTTCATCTTGCTTAGGTAAGTATGGGAGCCAGCTGTGTTCAGGGTGGCTGCACCCACTCACCCTTGAGCCCTCTGGCCTCAAGGACTGCAGCTCAGGTGGGGTAGCTGAGTATGTGTGTGTGTTGGGGGGTGGCTCGGGGGAGAAGGGTGGGACAGTGCCCAAGCAGGTTTCAAGTTCAGTCTCTGGCAAGTTTAGTCTGGAGGTTGCATGTGTCTCCTCTAAACACAGTGGTTCTCATTGGTTGTACATAGACATCACCTGGAGGAACTTTAAAACTAGTGAGCCTGAGTCCCACCGCTAGAAATTCTGATTTAATTGATCTGAGGGTGTGGCCTGGCTTCAAGATTTTTAATCACTCCTCAGGTGATTCTCATGCACAATCAAGGTTGAGAACCACTGTTCTAACTTGCTGTAAATCCTCACTACTCCTAGTGTGGTCCAAAGAATTTGGGGTTGGTACAAGACTAGGGGTGATCTGGGGAGATGGAAGTGGGGTCAGCAGGAGGCAATGATGGTGGGAATCTGAGAAGAAGGATGCTTCATTTTAATAGGAAAAGATTAGAAGAAGGGAAGATACAGAAAGGTGGTCTCCAGAAGAAAGACTAGACGAAGAATGGAGTCTAGAGGGGTCTTGGAAATGGAGCTTGCTGGGCTGAGTAGGTTGGGCTCTTAATTGCTTCCTTTACAGGGAAGTCCTTGAATTTGGAGGATTTCAGAAACATGAAGGAGAAGGTGCAGGACATGGTGATAGGCCTCCAGGATCTGACTGAGGAGGAGCAAAAAGATGTGCTAAGCTGCCTCACTGAATGCCTCAGCAAGGATGGGCAGCTGCAGGATCTAGAGCAAAGAGTAAGAGGCCCAAGAAAGAACTGGGCAGAGAGAGGGAGGAGCCAGTGGGGAGGGAAGTTGACACGCTAAAGACAATCTGCTATAGTGGGAGTGGTGCTCATCTCCCCCATCTCCTGGCCCTAGGTGTCTGAGGTCCTGATCTCTGGTGAGCTACAGACGGAGGGCCCAGCAGGTCCTCTCATAAGTAGCCTTTTTAACGATGCTGGCATCTTGGTACAGGCGCGCATAGAAGCCATTCTGGATGTCCTGGATGCCTTGATGGGTGAGGAGGGGTCTGGATGTATGCTGGTTTGGAGAAAACGCTGAGCAGAGGGGTGTGTGAGGAATCAAATCTTGGGAGGAAGGGGGTACACATTGCCCTTTACATTTTGTGAGGGAAAGGCTTTCACACTTCAGAAACTAGTCATCTTCCCCAGGTCAGGGATTGAGGGATTGCCTCCTCTTCCCCCTTGGCACAGTCTGTGACCTCCTGCAGGTTAAGAGGAAAGCAGGAACCATATAGCAGGAGCCCATTTGGAATAACTCCCATCTAGCACTGCCAGGGTCTCTCCAGAACCTCCTTCTGATGCTTGTCCTGAATCTGATCAGACACTGAAGCCCTGTCCCACCATGTGCCTCTCTTCTCTGCCAACCACCCTCTTTTTTGCCCCCAGAGCTGTCTGAGGAGCAGCAGCTTGTGGCTGAGGCCCTAGGGAAGGGGACTCTGACCCTGTTGAAGGGCCAGGTAAGACAGCCTGGGCTGAGGGACCCTGACCCTGGCTCTCAAGGGACCCAAAAGTCCCAGTGTACAGACTCTTCCTACTTCACAGTTCTCTGTCAGCTCATGTTTATTCAGCTGGCTTGTGGCAATCCCCTGGACATACAGTTTCCAGGACAATTGGGATGGGCTTTTTACGTTCTGTTGCTTGCCTATGGGCAAGAGAGGAGGATGGAAGACTGTTAGTCCCAGGATGGCAGCTGGCACCATCTTGAGTGACAACATTGATTAGCAGTGCCTGTCACTATGTTGAGAAAGTATGAGGCCCTCCAGCCTCCGCAGGAAAGAGTGCCATGATGGATTACTACATCTGCCATGGGCTCACAAATAAGGAATGCGGCCAAGTATTTGCCATTTCTAGTATATTTCCTTGTTCCTAGCGTTTACATTCTGGTGTGTTTCCTTCCAGGTTGAGTCTATCCTGGAGCAGAACCCCGGTGAGCAGCCCCATGAGGTGGGCTGTGACCCTGAGGCACGGATTCTCTGTGCTCTCTATGTTGCTGTTTCTATCCTGCTGCAGCTGAGTGAGAAGCCTACCTCTGTGTCTTCCTAACTGTATGTTAGCTCTTTAACCATTCTCCCCACTAGCCTCTGGCTGCTCCCCTTCCCAGTCTATCTTTATCCTGCCTACCCGCCTCATCACCAGAATGTCTTTAAAACAAGCAGCTGGCTATTCTTTGATAAATCCTATTCCCTACTTGATAATGTCCAAAAATCAGCCTGGATTGTATGCTTGGCCTTCTGATTAAAAGTGGCAGATTGATCATATTAATTTCCTCTCTTTCTTGAAACCTCGCTAAATGACAGTAAAGCAATCGAAAAGATATAAACCCCCAAGGATAAAGAGAATGAGGCAGCAGATAAGAGATTTCAACACATCTTTGGAAACTAGAAAGTAATTAAAGGAGTGCAAGCCAGGAGTTGTGGGACTGAGGGGTGCAGAGGAGTGCAGGGGGACACTGCTGTTTTTTACATCATAAAGTTCTATTTTAGTTCTAAAATTTAATTCTAAAAGTTCCTTTTAGTTCCATTTAATATTTTTTAAGACGATGTAATTAAAAGTAAAAGAAATATATGCTTGTTGTAAAGCATTTCAAATATTTCTCAAAGTCGAAGGTAAAGGTACTCTGGGACCTCCCTTTCTCCCTCTAATATAACCACTGTTAACATTTTGGGATATGTTAACATTTTCCCTCTGCAGCAGCTTTTAAAATGGTAATTTAAACATGAATCTAGGATGATATAACATAAATTTGTTTTGTATCTTTTGATCTAGAGTTATTTTTTTCTTTTAAATTTGTAAAACTATTATATGCAACAGGAATTCTCATAAGTGCTGTTGGAGTGTATATTTGTCAACCACTTTGGAAAATTGTTTGACAGTATCTCCTAAAGCTAAATATATGCCTGTGACCCAGCAACTCCATTTCCTGGGCATACACCTGAGAGAAACGAGTGCATGTATTCACCAAAAGACATGCATATACAAGAATGTTAACATAAGAGCCCCAAGCTGAAAACTATTCAGATGTCCAATAACATTAGCATGGATACATAAATTATTGTATATTTATGCAATAAAACAAAACAAATTACTGCTACACATAACAACAACTCTCCCAGACATAATGCTGAGCAAATGAAGCCAGACACAAAAGAACATATTTAAGTTTGGGTCCTATGAGAAGCAGGTGCCAAAATGGAACTAGATGTGCAAAAGACTTATTAGAGGAAAAGGCTGTAAAGAATAAAGGGAGAGGAAGCAGGAATAGGCATGGCAAACCTTCAAATCACAATGCAGGTCTAAAACCTGTGAAAGTAGAGAAGGAGGGAAGGATCTAGTAGGAAGAGTCTCAGATCGCAGCGAAGTTCTGAGAGTCTCAGCCAAGCCAACCTGAGCAAAAATAGTCTACTGGAGAAGTCCCCCGACCATGCTCAGCCTTTGGCTGGGACCAGCCCAGGAAAGCTTGACCTCAGGAAGCAGATCTACAGGGCGGCAGCTAGAGGTTCTCAGTCGACTATGCTTCCTGCAGCAGGTTCTCCTAAAGAAAATCTGAGTGGTACCCTCCACAGCCACCACAATACTGTATGATTCCAGTTACATGAGGCTCAAGAACAGGCAAAACTAAGCAATGGTGGTAGAAGTCAAAATAGTGGTTATCTTATTGGGGACAGTATTGACTGGGAAGGGACATGAGGGAATCTTTTGGGTCACTGGAAATATTTTATATCTTGATCTGGACAGTGGTTACATGGATGTTTACATATGTAAAAATTTACTAAGCTATACACTTAAGATCTGGGCACTTTTTTTTACTCCACTTTACTGTAAGTTTTTTTTTACCTCAATAAGAATTTTAATTTAAAAACATAATATATGCACATGAAAACATATTTGAACATACAGAAGAATATAAAAAAATTAAGTAAAAATTTCCTCTCAAACCCCTTCACCCTAGAAACTAGTACCACTTTCTTGAGACAGCCATATTTAACTCTGTTTTAGTTTTTCTGTCTGTTACTATTACAACTAAAAATGATATTCTTATATTTGTTCTTAATTTATTAATTTTAGATAGTATTTATTGATTCCCAGTATTAAGGATGGATCTTGGGAAAAACAGACATTGAACAACAAGTTCAAAGTAGTAAGTTTTATAAATAGAAGACAGGGTACTATGAGGGCATTTAATAAAAGGTAGCAGAGCAGTCCCCTCTTACCTCTGACATTGTCCCCTTCCCTCTTCCTTAAACTCTGATTCCAACCATACCAAACTATTGGTCTTTTATTTGAACATGCCATGTACTTTTACAATGACATACTTTTTTAAAATACAGGTTGCATTCTCCCTCTGCCTGGATTTCCTTCCCTCACCTTATCCATCCTTTACACTATGGCTCAAATATCCCTTCCTCACTAGTCATCCCAGTTTCCCAAAGAATTTGGTTACTTCTTCCTCTGCGTGGCCCATAGCATGTTGAAAACATTTCTATTATGGCATTCATCACATTGTACTGAAATTATTAATACATATGTCTGTTCCACTAATGTGGAAGTTCTGGAGAATAGTGTTTAAATCTTACTTTTTTTTGCTAGGGCTCAGTAAATGCTGGTTTGCTTCAAAAGTGCCTTTGAGTTGGGGGAAGTTTGGGAGACACATCCAGAATTTCATGAGGCTAGCTCAACCTCAGAACTACTAGTTGTCACTAAGAATTTTTTTTTCTTTCCTCTCAAGTCTCAGCAGGGGACTACTTGTCTTAGGGAGATTAAACTGACCCAGAAACTTGAGGCTTATATTCGATCTGCTGATTTTTCTCTTTTCTCATCTCACATTTCTGATTCCAGAGTGAAGTTCAATACATCAATTGCATACATCTGTAAGGAATTTCCTGTTGTAGCGGCTGAAACTTGTGACAGAGATGACTTTGAAATGGGGACAGTTGGGATAGTCATTATTTGAGCTTGGCGGGATGTGGGAGATTCCACTGACTCTTGCTCATTCTTCAGAACTCTTAGCTCAAGCAATACTCCCTTCTTATAGTTTCTATATCTCTCCAGGCTGAGTTAGAGACCCCTAAACACACTGTGCTTACCCCTGTTGGGAAGAAAACTGTTTTGGAGAAATGCCAGCTTGGGATAGATAAGATTCTAAGGAGTTGGATGTCAACAATTCTTGGAGAAGGGGGAAAACTACTTTGCAGGAAACAAATTGAGGAATTTATTGATTTTGCTCCTAAGATGGAGGAGAAGGACATTGAAAGGAGAGAGAATGGAGGAAGACAGAAGTACAAGCAAGATGGAGAGAGGCTGAGACTAGGTGAGGTAGTAAATACTTCAAGATACGGGATAGGTGAAGAACATTCAAGAATGGTGATGCCAAACTTGTTTCCGGTAATAGTAAGCTAGATTATTTGCTCCAGCTCTCCCATGGAAAACAATTTAAAATGCTGGATAAGATAATTTTTAAACATCCATGATAAGCATCTAATTTCTGGCAAGATAAAGAAACTCAAGCCAAAATACAAGGGAAAAGGAGACCCAGGGAGGTAAGTATCAGAACACTAATGTAATTTTGCCCCAGGTGAAGGGGGTTGAGATTTGCAAATCCAGGCAAGCTGGGGCTTCAGTTCTGCCAGCCTTGTGGATTGATGAGTCCAGAAGTCAAGGACAAGTACTCACCCAAGGTGGGGAGTCTAGTAAAAGGAGATCTTCCCCATATTAAACTGGAATCTCAAAGGGCTTCATCATTTAGGTGAAGAGTGAATTGGCAGTAAACCCATAGCTCTTGCCTCACCTGCAGGGGACTGTAGGGAACACTCTTGGTATTGAGTGAAGAAGAGGTTAAAAAAAGGAAAGGAAAAAAGTTCCGAAATATTATGGCCATAGGCTAGTCTTTTCACAGAACTTAGCCTGGATTTGCATCATCCGGGTGTTTCAGAGAATCTCAACTGCAGATTTAGTTTGTGAGGGCCCAGGATCCATTGTGTCCCCAGATGCCTGTCAGAATCAAACACAAATCTTTTCTGAAGGAAGTCATCTTCATTTCTACAAATAATTTTTTAAGGACAATGAGTGGTTCCCAATAAAAAAAATTAAAAAGCACACAGGACACAACACCATGAGCAAGAATAAGCAGAAACAACAAACAACAGAAAGAGACATATAAAATTCCCAAATATTGGAATTATTAGGCTAGATTATAAAAATGTGCTCATTATGTAATTAAAGAAATTTTAAAATGAGCTTGAAAATACCAATAGCAAGAAGAAAACTGTAAAAAATAACCTATCATATTTGAAAAAGAACCAAATAGAATTTTTAGAAATGAAAATGTTGATCCTACATAAAAAACTTAATGGATAGATTTAAAGAGTATATTGGATATAGCTGAGGAGAGAGTTAGTGAAATAGAAATCAGAAAAAAAAATACTCAAAATATAGTACAGAGACAAAAGTGAGAAGATATGGAGTGAGGTCAAGAGACATGGAGGATACTAATAGGTATAAAATATGTTCAATCCGAGTTCCAAAAGAAGAGGAGAAAGAGGGGCCAACCTAGTGGCGCAAGCCGTTAAGTGCGCGCATTCCGCTGCGGCGGCCTGGGGTTCGCCGGTTCGGATCCTGGGTGCGCACTGATGCACTGGCAGGTCAGGCCATGCTGTGGCAGCGTCCTATATAAAGTGGAGGAAGATGGGCACAGATATTAGCGGCGGCGTCCTATATAAAGTGGAGGAAGATGGGCACAGATATTAGCCCAGAGCCAGTCTTCCTCAGCAAAAAAAAAAAAAAAAGAGGAGGATTGGCAGATGTTAGCTCAGGGCTGATCTCCTCACAAAAAAAAAAAAGAAGAGGAGGAGAAAGAGATTAAGGCAAAGACAATATTTGAAGAGATAATGGTTGAGAATTTTGCAGAGCTAATGAACAACATCAAGCCACAGATCAAGAAGCTCAGTGAATCCCAAGCAGGATCCATAAAAAGAAAGCCACATCTACACAAATCATAGTAAAGGATTGCAGAACAGCAGCAAAGATAAAATCTTAAAAGCAGCCAGAGAAAAAGACAGCTTACCTTCAAAGAAGTTATAGTTAACCTGAAAACTAACTTTAAGGGAAGCCATTTGATGATGAAATTATATCTCCTGTGTGTTGAAAGAAAATAACTGTCAATCTAAAATCTTATACTCGGGGCCAGCTCCATGGCTTAGTGGTTAAGTGCGCGTGCTCCACTACTGGTGGCCCGGGTTCGGATCCCGGGCGCACACCGACG